TCAGCACGCTGCTGCGCACTCAGGGGGTTGACAGATGCAAATTTGTTGCCGGCAGCGAAGCTGGCGATGCCACGTTCACCCCGAAACTGTGGGCAGCTCTGGCCAAGCAGCAAGTGGTGCCTATGGCTAGCGTGCAACGGCTGAAACAACCCCGTTACGGTTCCACGTGTGGCCGTGCAGAGTCCGAGCGGTTAGGAGAGTGGAAGCAGAGGGGAGGTGCTAAGGAGGAGGAAGGCAGTGCTGTGTGTAAATACCTTGGGATGGAGTCTTTGTGAGCTCTCAGTCTTTTTTTCCTGTTAAAAATCCACAAAGAGGGTGTGAAAGATGAGAAAGCAAAGGATCCACGTGGGCTTTGCAGGCAGGGAGCTGGAAGCCCACAGGTCCAGCTGCTGGAAGAATGTCCTGGCAGGCTGGAGAACGCTCAGACTTGGGGCCAGGGCAGGAGATGCTCCCTGAGCAACAGCGTGCCCATTTCCATCGCCTTCCCTGAGCATCCACCACCTCCGCAGAAGACACCGAAGCCACCCCTGCACATGGCCAGCTGGCCCCAGAGCCGGCACACAGCCCCAGCAGACACCTCCACGGTGTTACACCAGCCAACAGCACAGTAAAAACACACTGATGAGGGAAAGCAATCTTTAATAAAGTGTCCGAACTACCAGAGCAGTAAGACCCAAAGGATAAGAGAAACCGTTCAGCCTCCTCCTGGGACATTCTGCACAAGAACCTCAATGAGTACGACCAGCCATGCTGCGGGGCTGTGTTGAACCCCTGCCACAAGCACTAATCTGTTCTTCCTCTCTTGCTTCCACCGACACAGCTACAGGGCAGGATGGCACTGGTCTTTGCCAAAAGGGGAGAGAGATACAGGGCTAGGAAGAAAAAGTCCTTTGCTGGGTGGAGGAAAATCTTGCCCTTGCCCTAGTGGCTTTGGAGGACGTACCCCACTGCGCGCTCAGCGGTCCTGTGGGCTGGCAGCTAGTGACGGTGATAAAGGAAGCAGCAGGGAGAAAACCTTGATACCAAGAACCAAGCAGTAATCAAAAGGAACCATTTTTCAGACCACTCGCAACACAACAGCAAGGAGGGGAGGAAACAGGAGCAGGAGCACTGCAGTGCGTTTATGCCCGTTGTTTTGCTGGGCTCAGGCCCATAGCAATAAAATCTCCCCTTCCCTCCCCCCAGGAGCATACCTGTATGTCCTGGCACAGCCTTTTGAGAGGGGGAGACTTGCTGCACGTCCCATCCACCTCCTCTCTCCCCAGGTGCTTCACCACGATGCACTTTTTCAAAAGGGAGCCCCTGTAAAAGGTGGGAGCTGTCAGGT